GGAATCAACCATAGAATATTTTCCAAACATCTTTTAAGTTGATTAAATACTCATTCCATCCAAACCGGAACTATTTTTTTCTGTCAGTTTTCAATTATAATGATTGGACTTGACAAATAGTCAGAATTTTGATGCATAAACCATATTGTCATTTGATCCCTTTTTTTGCATATGTTCCACCACATATTTTGGATTGATATTTTTGTCACTGGTAGTTCAGGACCTAGTCCATCTGGAATCAAAATATGTTAGGTATACACAAGTTATAAGATACTTTTATTCTAAGATGAACACATTTTTAGCTCACCTGGTCAAAAGGACCGGTGAGCTTATGCCATGGCGCGGCGTCTGTCGTCCGGCGTCCGTCGTCCGCTACTTGTCATGAACGACTGAGTAGATTTTAACCAAAATTGGTCAGAAGCATTCCTGGGGGAAGGGAAACAAATTTTGTATAAATGGTGGGTCTGGCCCCCCTGGGGGCTGAGGGGCGGGGCCCAATACGGGAAATATAGCAAATTCTTTAAAATCCTTCTTCTTCTGTAGGAATGAAAGGATTTGTTCCATACTTGGTCTGAAGCATTCTTGTGTGAAGGGGAACCAATTTTGTATAAACGGTGGGTATGGCCCCGTAGGGACCTGAGGGGCGGGGCCCAATAAGGAAAACATTTATTTAAAATCCTTCTTCTTCTGTAGGAATGATAGGATTTGTTCCATATCTTATCAGAAGCATCATTAGGGGAAGGGGAACAAATAATATATAAATATTGGGTCTGGCCCCTCTGGGGCTGAGGGGCGGGGCCTAAAAGGTTAAATATAGCAAATTCTTTAAAATCCTTCTACTTCTGTATGAATGAAAGGATTTGTTCGATATCAGAAGTATCCTTGGGTGAATGATCATTTAATGCATTGTTAGTTTTAAAATATTTGTCTTTTAGTTTGTTAGTTTTTCAGTTGTCTTACTCATTACAATGGGTGATATGCCTGCTCCAATCACGATTTCCCGGTTGAGAAAACGTGTCGGCGTGAGAAATCGTACCACAGCAGGTTATCGTGGTCATCAGCGAGTGGACGTGGTTTTCACATGGACCCCATCTGAAGTAAGATCAGACCAATACTCTTTAGGTTAAAATAGCAGGATCTGGTGTTGGCAAACGCATGTCAAGGTCGTGACCATTATAGTTAGAGAACGGCGCAATTTGGATGACCAATTATCGACTGCACACTGATTTTGAGGCACTTTGTTTTACAAAACCTATGCTTTGCGGAGTGTTTTGGAATGCAAACAGTAAGTCAGAGTTTCGTCCTGAGCAGATTTAACATGACAGAGCCTAGCAATGCACTGCTATCAGACTGACTTACTGACCGTGTCTAAAATTTGTCCTAGCTACCAAATTTATTGTCAATTATAATAAAAAAAAATTGTATATAACTTAAGTTTTGCTATCAAATTCTTACCTATATGTCTTTTCTGTCTAGGCCCTAAGACCGTTATGCACCTAGCTTCAAAAACTGCAAAACACCGGGGTTATATCTAAACCGTGTTCTGTCTCACATGTAAGACTTATCACTTACAGGTTTTTTTCTTTGATTGTACAAAAGTCGATAAAAAATGTTCCGTAGTCTGTTATACCGACTGCGGCGAACACGTCAATCATCGTTAGCAAAGCTTAGTCGTTTATATACAAGGCTGCAGCGATAGCACGGGGAACTCCGAATAGAGCTAATATCTCCTTTATCCGAATCGACAGTTATTGAAAAAACTGTCATTATGATGAAATTTTGGTGATTTTATAATTTCTCCCGTAAACGTTAAATGCGACAGACAGTTCGGTATTATATAGGGATTAAACGGCGTTTTCTCAATTTTCATGCCGGTATGAACGCAAATCGGTTACATCCATACTGCATGAAGCTTGCTAGGGCTTCGGGCTTCATGTTTAATATGGATGTAACCGATTGGCGTTTTTTTTTATTTTCATGCCGGTATGAACGCCAATCGGGTAACCGATTGGCGTTTTTTTTAATTTTCATACCGGCTTGAAAACTTAAAAACCTACGTTCAATCCATATATTTACATTTTTACTATAGAAGAATTGTTTCATTTTATTTATTTGTTTTTAAATAATTTATTTATTTACTGCGGTTTTGTATATGCGTCGTCCTAATATGTTTTTCTTCTGGGCCGTTAGTGAGGGCGGAGCCAGGTTGTACTGTAAATGTATCGGAATATCGGTACTGTACTCTTTCAAGCATTGAGTGATGTGTTGAATGACTAAATCAGACCTACATGTATAGCTATACAGTGTATATTACAGTTAAGTTTCCTTTGTTGATTTCTTTTTGGCTGACAAGATGTTTGATATCTTGAAGTTTTCCGCCTAGGCGTATGATGACATGACATGAATGTGAGAATGCGAAAGGTTCATTAGACTTTATATAAGTATTTAAATTTGCACCTCTTGAATCCATTGCAAAAATCAAGTGCAGCATATTCTACAAAGACATTGAAATAAAACATATTAGGATGGATATTGTTAATCATGTATAATAGCATAG